CCCGCCTCCCCCAACCCCGGGTTTTCCCTAAAGCTAACTTCTATAAGTTGTGTAATTTTTGTTAGCTGTTTCCCTCCCAACCCCCTCCCGACTCCACCCCAACCTCTGTCTTAAAAAGTTTAAGAGGAAGACCCAGAAAGAGAGTCCTCATCAGCTGGTCCACTTCCCAAACGCTGACAATGGCCAGGGTTAGGTCAGACCAGAATAGGAGCTGCAAGCTCAACTCAGGCTCCCACGTGGCTGGCAAGGACCCAGGAACTTGAGCCACTACCATTACCTCCTCGAATCTGCCTTGGCCAACAATGCCAAGCACTCCAAGGCAGGCAGAGGTCAGTGACTTCATCTCCAAATTAAATGCCCCGCCCCACTCTGATTTCCTTCTTTTTTTAAAGGTTTATTTTACTTGAAAGAGTTAGAGAGAGAGGACCTGGGTCAATGGCCTAGTGGCTGGTTCATCACCTTGCAGACACTGGGATACCATATGGGCACTGGTTCATGTCCTGGCTGTTCCCACCACTTCCCATCCAGCTCCCTGCTTGTGGCCTGGGAAAGCAGTCTAGGATGTCCCAAAGCCTTGGGACCCTGCACCTGAGTGCGGGACTCGGAAGAAGCTCCTGGTTCCTAGCTTTGGATCAACTCAGCTCTAGCCATTGTGGCCATTTAGGGAGTGAACCAGTGGACAGAAGATCTTTCTATATTGCCTTCTCTCTGTATATCTCCCTTCCTAATGAAAATATGTAAATCTTAAAAAAAAAATTGTGGAGAGAGAGGGAGAGACAGAGAGTTGATGGTAGGTGGTGGGTGAGTGGGTGCTGTCTTCTACCACCTGGTTCACTCACCAAATGGCAAAAATGGCTGGAACTGAGATGCTCTGAAGCCGGAAGCCTGGCATTCCTTCTGGGTCTTCTTTGTGGGTGCAGGGCCTCAAGGCTTTGGCCCATCCTCTGCTACTTTCCCAGATAATAGCATGGAGCTGGATGGGAAGTGGTGGAGCCCATATGGGATGCCAGTAACCTGTTATGCCATGGTGCTGCCTGCTCCCCTCCTCATTCCTGAGCACATTTCCTATGCCATGCCCACGTCTGTCAGCAGGGAATTTGGCCACAAGTGTCCGTGTGGGAGACAAGTGAGAATCCTGGGAAAGGAAGAGCATCAGACTCCCGGCAGACATTTGACAAGGATTTCCTGAGTGTCTCCCTGGGTGCCAGCTGCCCTGTCTGGGAGAGCCTGCACTGTACCATCACTTTAAAGTGATCTGTGTGTGCGCATGGTGTGTGTGTGAGTGTGTAAGACACAGAGAGAGGCAGAGAGATGATCTTGCCCCCAGCATCCTCACTGCTGAAGTTACCTCCCAGCAGGCCTTACCGGCAAGTCAGCCCCAAGAGTCGAGCCTATGGTGGAGACACAGCAATGGGCTGATCACCCAGAGCTGTGGATGGAAGGTGTACTGAGAGTGGGACAGGAGTGAGGCTGGAAGGTGGGGGTGCCGCCCGGGGTGAGGAGCCTGCACGGCCTCTCACAGAAAATGCAGACTTTGCTCCCCAGCAGGTGATAAGGGAAAGGACAGCAGGGGCCAGTGACAGGCTCAGGTAGGGGAATGGCCAGCTGGACGCTTGGTGGAGATGAGGCATTTGCTGTGGGCCCTGCAGAGGAGACAGACGGATGTGGATGTGTGTGCAGGAGCCGGGGACAGGAAGTGGGACCAGGAGAGAAAGAAGAGTGTGTTAGTAAGAATGCTGGGAGACAGGGAGGAGGAGGCGGGTGAGCTCGGAGCGGAAACGCAGGGGGCAGCCTGCACTGCCGCTGACACTGCTTTGGACACTGTTTGCTGTCTGCAGGAGTTGGGTGCTGTACCCAGCTTGGGCTTGTGAAAGGACAGAGTTACAGACATGATTGTAGGCAGAATGGGCTGCTGTGTGTGAGTCATGAATTGAACAGCTTCCACTCTACAAAAATACGAGTGAGAATTACCTGTGGGTTTTGTTAACATGGTGGCGGGGGCAGGAAGCATACAAAATAATGAGGGAAAATTTTTAAAATCCCTAATTGGTTAGCATCAGAATATTCCAAAGCAGAGGGGACTACCTGATTATGCAGACTCAGGTGGTATCTGTTTGCTTCCTTAACATTTTGGCTTGATTATAGACTATCTAGCATGAGTGACTCCATTTTGGTGTTGAGGCCCAAGGACGGGAGCGCAGCACAGAACGATGGCCGCCTGAGTCGAACGGTTTTGTTTGACATTCTTCATGACAGTGGACTTAGGCAGACATTATTTCTCTGATGAGAAATGGAGCCCAGGAGTGGATGGTAACTCACCTAGGATTACATAGCAAGAGATAAAGCACAGCACAAAGCCAGGTTTTCTGACTTTGAACTGGGTTCTCTTTTCATGCCCTTCTAGTTACCCCCCAAGAGTAGAAGAGCTGTCTGTGAGATAGAAGGCCTGGCTGCAGCGTGTGGAGGGGGCATGCAGACGGCTCTGGTAGACCTCACGTTAGGGAGAACACTGGCGTCTGTGTGCACAAGCCCTGCCAGCCTGGCCTCCCTGGGGAGGCCAGACAGAGGGGGAGGCTGCCATAGTAGCCACCCTGTGGTCCTGGAATGTGACATGGGAGCTTAAAGCAGGGAAGGCAGAGCTACATGGAAGAGGAGGTGGAGGATGCAAAAGACTTGGCCAGGCAGGAAGCCAGGATTAGAAAAGGGAAAGTTGGGGGACAGAGGGGTCCTGGGCAGCTAGGCAGAGAGAAAAAGAAAGACAGACTCTGTGAACAGGGTTGCGGGAAGATGCCTGACAGGCCATGGGAGTCACCTGCCAGGAAGCAGGGCATGGCTGGAGGTGGAGAAGATGAATACTTTGTGTCAGTGAGCAATGAGTGCAGGCCAGGTGTGCTAGCTCAGCATCGCAGGCGGTGTGCCTGAGGCAGATGTTGAGGCAGGAGGCACCAAGTAAAACCCTCGGGCACTTGACCAGGCTTTTCACTTTATTTTCACTGCTTGGGTAGAGCAACCCACATCATGATAGGCAGATTTCCAGACTTGCTTACGAATCCCTAAGGCTACAAGAGAGCAAGAAAAGCCAAAGAACACTTTCCAAGACGTAAAGAATAGTTTCATCCTAACACTGGGGAATTTCTCCTGAGCCAAAAAGTTATTGGTGTGCATGGACATTTAGCTAGCAGTGGTGTCTGTATTATGAAAAATCGGAAATAACCTAAATGTCCTGCAACAGGGGATTAATTGGGTAAATTTTCATTTAGTGTTAATGATAGAATAATATGTGCCCATGATAAATGATACTGCAGGCATGCATTTCATGACGGGGACAGCTGCCTTGTCCATCGTCACGTCTGAACACGTGTGGCTTTGAATGAAAGTTTGCGTTTTATGCATTGTGTGCAGTCTCCTGCTACCTTCACAGGGCCACTGTTGTCATTTTCACAGGCCACCAGAGACACTAACTTCCTCTCCCTAATCTCACTCTGAATTTTTTTAGCACCCGTCAGGTTCTCGGCAATGGGACAGGACGTGAATTCCATGAGTCAAGAAGTCGCTTGTTTTCTATTCTTCTGGCTCAGGAGAACTTGGCTTTAGTCAGATTCTCATTCCTACGTACGTGAGGCACCGCTAACTCCCCTTGCCCCTTTTAGGGCCTCGGTGCCTTCCAATTAGCTTAGCACCCCACTGGGCCCCTCTGGCTCCCCGTAGCTCCTGACATAATACCGTCTGTACTTACAGTTCTAGCCTCCTGGGAACCAACAATGTGATTCTGGGGTACAGAATCAGATGAACCCTTCTCTGGCCTCTGTGGCAGAGAGGTCAGTAGAGTAGCTGACAGATGGAATGCACTACCAAAAGGTCTATTTTTAAACAGCATGGTGGCCAGAGGGCGTGGCCTCAGAGGGGAGAGTCGGGGTGAGGGGAGCGACACACCTGGAAGGGCACTAGCTTTACTTCTGAGTCAGCAGGTGGAGGAAGTTGCCTGCTGGGCCAGAGTTCTGGATGGAAAATGCTGGCCTGGCCCAGTCTCTGGGAGGGCAAGGTGGAGTCAGGTAGGGGGAGCGGGGGTTGTGGAGGAGAGCAAGGTCTAAGCTTCAGGTGCTGAAGTTGTGGCCTGGACCTAGATCCATCCCTCCATCTATCCCAAGCCAGCTCCTTATCGGTCATTCCGACTAGTGGCTCAGAAACACCTGGGAAACCATTCGCTCCCCACTCCGCCCCACCCACCCCAGCGCCCTAGCCTCTCAGAGCTCTGTCTGCCACGCACTCCCCACCTGACCCGGCGCGGGGAGAAGTACCCGGTCACTGTTAGGACCAGCAGAGCCCTTGACAGTCAGGCAGCACCTGTGGCGCGAGCAAGACAGGCGGCGTTATAAGTATCACGTCTCCCGCGTCCCAGCGACCCAAGTCATGCTGCACGGGAGGGTGGGCTTTCCTCTTTCCGCGTTCTTAACTTCCCCAGAGCAGGTGTGTGTAGGGGGACAGGGGTAGGGGTAGGTGTAGGTGCGAAACCCTCTTGATATTCCATGAGCCAGGTAGTTCTTGGGGACTCAGTCTCGTCTCCGCAGCGGAGGCCGGCAGGGTCGGTCTACACCTGGGTCACCCTCACCTGGGCGGGTGTCACCATTCCGCTCCCCACTCCCCGAAAGCAGAGGTGAAAAGGTGGCTTCGGCAGCTGGCAGGTCGTGAGGGTGCAGGAGGGGGTGAGTGGCCTCGGGCGGGGGCGGGGAAGCGGCGTCCGGCCTCCCTGCTGCCCGGCCAGGGGCGGGGTGGGAGGCGCGGGGCGGGCCAGCGGTCGCTGCGGGGCGCGGCGCCCGGCCGGAGGGGTGGGGAGGAGCAGCCGCCCTGTACTTCCCCTTCGCCGCTAGCTTTACAACAGCCTGATTTCCCCGAAATGATGAAGCTGCGTCGGCCAATGGGCGCCCGCGCGGCCCGGGAGGAAGGCGGGGCCCGGCCTGGGCTGGGGGAATCCCGCTAAGTGTTTAGATTGCTCTGCGGCGCCGCTGCCCTGGCAGAACGCGCCACTCCTTCGTCCAGGCAGGACGTGCGCTTGAGCTCAGCCGAGCGAGACCAGCCGTGGCCAGCGGCTCTGGGACTCGGGCATCCTCCGCCCTTCTCTCCGCCGCTCCCGCACCCGCGTCCTGCGAGCCTCGCACAGCCACCTCTCCCGGCCGACTGCTCCCGCTGCAGAGGTGAGCACGCCTTCGCGGCGGGGAACTGTGGCGCGAAGCCCACGGGCACGGGGCAACCAGGAAGCTCGGGCCGAAACCCTCCGACCCCGAGCGGCGCGGTTGCAGCCGCGGGCGCGGGAGGGCGCCCGAGGAGCTGCAAACAGTGGCGCGGGCGGGTGGGAGGGCGGGCCGCGCGGCGTGGACCGCCCAGCGGCCGCTTTCGCAGATCCGAGTGCGCGGGGCCGCCGGGGCGTCCGGGTGGTCCGATTCTCCTGCCGCGTGCATCCACGCGCGCCTTGCCGGGGACGCAAGTGGCGACCCCGGTTGCGTTCCCAGCGTCCCAGGGTTTGGGCTCACCTAGTTGGTGCCAGGGTCTGCCTGACTGCCCCAAACGGACAGCTCGAGGGGGCTGCGACCTGCGGAGGGTGGGGGTCGCTGCAGGAGGAAGAGCCACAGCTGTTACTTGGGCTACTTCTCTGCAGGAGGGGAGACCGGTCCAGAAGGGTTCTGTCCCCAGCTCAAGAGTGGTGGGCACGGTGGCCTGTGGGTGCCCATTAGGGAAGGTGCACAACTGCTGGCCACAGCCCAGGTCTGAGGAATTAATAATGACACCCAAAGAAAAGAAGCCATTCCCTTCCCAAAAGGTTGGGATTTTTGAAAGGAAACTTTTGAACATGAATCCTGAAACCTGTCTCCTCCCAAGACTGCCTGGGAGGGGTGGGGAAAGGGGCCAGGCAGTCAAGAAGGGCTGGAGGCAGCCTTGTTGGCCCCCCAGGTCCTTTCCCCCACGCTGGGGAACTTGGTTCCTGAGTGTGGGTGGGCAGGGGAGGTGGGGTAGGGCAGTGCCCAGGGACTGCTCAACAGACTCCAAGCAGGACCTTCCCATCTTCTCTTTGCAGGCAACATGCCCATCCCTCGGATGCGCATGAGACCATGGCTAGAGATGCAGATTAATTCCAACCAGATCCCCGGGCTGATCTGGATTAATAAAGTGAGTGCTACTTGTGTGTGTTTTTTTGTTTTTCTCCTGCCACCGTATTCTTTAGCAGAGCATAGCGGCAATGTAGTTCCAAAAGGGGAAGTGACAAGGGGGCAGGCAGATGTGTTTCCCATTGGGTCTTGCCATGTGAGGCCCATCTGAGCCGCCCCACTTGGCTCACTCTTGCCTTTCTCCCTTTCTGGGTGGGAATGTGTGGAACCCACCTAAAGGCACCAGCAGCAAGACTCCTCTAGTCTCTGGGGTGCTCCTCCCCTCCCCTGGTCGAGGGGATTCCTACAAAGATACATAGCCAGCCCTCTCCAGAACTCTTCCAACCCAGGTGGGAAGGCACTAGCTCTGCAGAAGACCTGGGAACTAATCTCATACTGAGCTGCTTTGGCCCAGGAAACCTATAGAGGGCACACTTGGGGGCAGAGTTGAGCCAGGAATCTAAATAACAAAAATAGCATTCATCTTTGCTGTCAGAGTGTTCAGGTGTCATTGAACCCTTACAACAGTTTCTGTCAGGTGGATCCCATTAGTACCACTTTTTCAGGGCAGGGAACTGAGAAGGCATTGACAGACAGCTAACATGATCACTTTTTTAAAAAGCTCAAATCAGAACAGTCGTAAAGAAACCCATACCAGTAACCCCCAGTAGTAACAGTGAGACCTCAGTCTTCATCTAAGATGTATTTTCTCTGACCGTGAGCTGCACAGGCAGTGTCCAAGGTCACACAGGTGGACAGCCCCTGAATCTGGTTCAGGGATGGTTCCTTTGGAGTGTGCACAGAGTAGGTTCTTTCTATGCTGTGCTGCCAAGCCAGGGACGGGCGTCGGAGCTTTGGAGCCAGTGTTGCAGGGATGCAGCAGGGTAGGAGCTAGGGAGGACAGAGCTCCAGTCCCCTGAGGAGCCGGAGGCCCCCCACTCCCTGACCCCCAGCCACATGTGTGGGGGTGGGGGGACTGGGAGAGGAAGTCAGTCTTTCCTCGGGCCTGGGGAGCTCTGGGCTGCTGGGAGCTGACACGGCCTTGTTTGTGTGTGTGTCCTTCAGGAGGAGATGATCTTCCAGATCCCGTGGAAGCACGCGGCCAAGCACGGCTGGGACATCAACAAGGATGCCTGCCTGTTCCGGAGCTGGGCCATTCATACAGGTGAAGAGAGGAGGGTGCCCTGGGGCTCCTGATGGCGGCCCAGAGCAGGGGGTAGACTTGGGGAGCTTGTGTCTACACTGAAAGTTCTCCCTGGCCAAAAGAAGCTGTGAGAAGAAGGTGGGAGCCCAGGTAGTGAAGGACACTCCCACCTACCTTTCTCTTGGTGTGGCTCAGGGTCCCTGGCCCCAGGTCCATGTGGTTAGCCACTCTTATTTCTGGTTTTGCTAACCCTCTGGTCCATAATAAGAAAGACATGGCCTGGTACACAGAGAACACACTTTCAGTGACATGTGAACTCTAGTGCTCCAGGCAGGACCTCTAACATAAACCTCTCAGATATATCTGGGTCAAGCTCGTGCCTAGCACCTACAGATGGTGTCACCCAGCAATCCCTGCTGGTGTGACCACGGCAGGCCCGTGGCCACCTGACAACTCAGGAGTACTTCCTCCTCCCCACACATGGCCCTGACGACCCTCCTCCCTCTGCTGCTCTCTAGGCCGATACAAGGCAGGAGAAAAGGAACCGGATCCCAAGACGTGGAAGGCCAACTTTCGCTGTGCCATGAACTCCCTACCGGACATAGAGGAAGTGAAGGACCAGAGCAGGAACAAGGGCAGCTCGGCCGTGAGGGTGTACCGGATGCTGCCACCTCTCACCAGGAACCAGAGGAAAGGTAGCCAAGAGCTCTGGCTTTGGGGAGGGGAGGGAGGAAGGAAGCAGGTCAGCTGGGGCTAGTATGCTTCAGCCAAGGCTGACAGCCTGTTTGCGCCCCACAGAGCGAAAGTCCAAGTCTAGCCGAGACGCCAAGGGCAAGGCCAAGAGGAAGGTGAGTGTATGGCTAAGCAGATGGGCCTTTGGTCCCTGGAGGGTCACAGTGAGCAGTGGAAGAACCTCTGCTGCTTTGTCCCTTAGCAGTCCTGTGGAGATTCCAGCCCGGACACCTTCTCTGATGGACTCAGCAGCTCCACCATGCCTGATGACCACAGCGGCTACACTGCTCAAGGCTACATGGGGCAGGACTCGGAAGTGGAGCAGGCCCTCACTCCAGGTGAGGTGGGCCGCGTCTGGTGGGAGGCCCTGCAGGGCGGTGGGTGGCTCCTGTCCTTGGAGGTGGGAGACATCATGCTGGCGGCTCCAGCCTTTCGGAGCAGGCTGCCTGGTCTTGACCCTGTGGCTTCTGCCAATCCCCAGCACTGTCGCCATGTGGTTTCCACCCCTGGCCAATCCCTGCGGACATCATGCCAGATAGCACCAGTGAACTGTACAACCTCCAGGTCTCTCCCATGCCCTCTACCTCTGAAGGTGAGTGGCCCTGACCTGGGAAGGGCTTTGTGAGGGAGAAAAAAGTTCAGGGACCCAGCTAAGGGAGCTGCCCACTGCCAGCCCCTGTGGGGGTGAGGCAAGGTCCTGGGCCTTGAGGAGGGCTGGTCAGGGTGGGCTGAAGGCCAGTGGTGGGGTGGTGAGAAGAGGGAATGTGACCTGGGCCTGGGCCTGCTATTTGGTCAGAGGTTGCTTCTCACGCTTCTCCTGCAGCCCAGTGTTGGAGGTTGAGGAAGGAAGTGAGGGGGTGGGAAGAGGCGTGGTCTCAGAGTTTGGGAGGCTGAGTCACCAGGCCATGTCCTGTTCTGGAATCTCCAGGGCAGGCATATGTCCACTGGGAGACCAGGGAGGGAGCGAGGAAGATAGAGCGAAGGGGCGGTGGGAGCTGGTGAGGCTAGAACCGCAGGGACTCCAGCCCTCTTCTCTGGTCTTCCTCATTCACAGCTGCAACAGATGAGGATGAAGGAGGGACGTTAACCGAGGACATTATGAAGGTAAAGGCCCTTGCGTGCTGGGCACTTTTGAGGCAGCTGCCGCCCTCGCCTGGCTGCTTGCATGGTCCAAACAAGTGTCTCGTGTGCATGGCCGGGGACCATGCAAGCTCCGTGCTGGTGGGAGAGCTACACAGGCAGTAAGGGCAGGTGGAAAGCGGGTTTAGGTCTTGGCTGGTTCCGAGTCAGCTGCTGTCAGTGTCAGGTCCCTGGCCTGTGTCCTCCGCCCCAGCACACCCCAGCCCTGCTGGTTTGGGAATGCACATCAGGTTTCAATAATCAGCCTTCGGGCTGGGTAATTTTTTTTTTTTTTTCCAGCAAACTGTCCTCCTGTGTTTTTGTTGTTGTTTTTGTTTTTTTCCTGCTTCAGCTTTAAAAGCGCACATAAGATTTTGTAGCAGTTGCACCCTGGCCCTTCTACTCCTTCCTCAGCACAGAAAATTGAGACACGTGCATAGTTCCTTATCTCTGGTTTTGCTAGTTATTTTTCTTGACCTGTTATGCTAACCCTTGCTTTATGCAACACTCCCAGCTGGTGTGTCCTTACAGAGTTGGGAGGGAGGGTAGCTGTGGCAGAAGGAGGGCAATGCATCAGGGGCCAGAGCAGCGTGTCAGGGTGACTCCGCACTGGAAGGCATCTGATGATTTCTTGCTCCTGTGCCCCCAGATGTTGGAACAGTCGGAGTGGCAGCAGACAAGCGTGGATGGCAAGGGCTACCTGCTTAATGAGCCTGGGATCCCGGCTACTGGTTTCTATGGAGACTTTAGCTGCAAGGAGGAGCCAGAAGTTGACAGCCCTGGAGGTGAGAAGCTCCTGGATCTCTTAACGCACCTTAGAGAAGAGAGAACTTTGTTGAGTAGGAGTGGGGGAAGGCAAGTGGAAGGTTTGGGGTTAGCGAACATCCCTTCTGACTTCATCTGGGGACATACAGCCTGTAGATCACTGCTTCCACTCCTAAGATTTGCTCAGACGCCAGTTTGTGTCCCCACGGCTCCATTTCCCATCCAGCTCCCTGCTTGTGGCCTGCGAAAGCAGTGGAGGATAGCCCAAAACTTTGGGGCCCTGCACTGCTTGGGAGACCTGGAGGAAGCTCCGGGCTCCTAGTTTCAGATCAGCTCAGCTCCAGCCATTGTGGCCACTTGGGGAGTGAATCAGCAGATAGAAGACCTTTCTCTCTTCCTCTTCTTTTCTTTGTAGATCTTTCCAATAAAATAATAATACTAATAATAAATCTTTAAAACAAAGTTTTTCTAAAAAAGATTTGCCCAGAGATGTGCTTACTGCTGTAGTGTGCATAGTAAAGACTGTTGGCGGGCAGGTGAAGGTGAGGGCAGCACACTCTCCTCTCCCATCCTTACACAGTGTCCTTCTCACCTTCTAGGGGACATTGGTCTGAGCCTACAACGTGTATTCACGGATCTGAAGAACATGGACAGCAGTTGGCTGGACAACCTGTCTTCCTCAGTCAGGTTGCCCTCCATCCAGGCTATTCCTTGTGCACCATAGCGGACACCCCTGGATGAGCAGGACTTGGTGGCTGCAGTGTGGAGCAGCTGGACTCCTGGATGGCCCCACTGTGGAGTGGGGGTTGGGGCCCCCCTCTTCGGGTCGGTGGCTTCTCAGGGCCTGGCAGGCTCATCTCGAAGGGACAAGCTCACCCTGCTTCCTGGGAAGATGGGTTCTGAGACTGATGCATTGTGTGAAGGGCTTGGACGGGAGTACTCCTCTAGGTCCTCTCTCTGAGTCCAGCTGCCTGGAGAGGGTCTTGCTGTCACTAAACTGGCCCGAGGGGAAACAGACAAGTGACCTCAGAATAGTACCTACCCCCGGGGCTGGCTCTGCACTAAGAGGTGATTGCACTAAGTGAATTCTATTCCCAAAGGACTGCCTCCCTTCCCAGCTGAGCCCTGGGGACTGCTCCAAAGCCAGTGAAATGTGAAGCAAAGAAGGGACCCGTGGCATGGTGCTCCCTCAGCCCTGCTCCCTGCTATGGCTGAGGGGCTTGGGAAAAAAATATGGCACTTTCTCTGTGGCCCTGGCCTCGTTTCTGCTCAAAGGTGGACACTACCGTATGCTCCAAGCTCCTGGCCTTTGCATTTATTTATATAGTGCCTTGTCTGGTGCCCAGTACACCCCCTTGGGCCCTGGGAGGGAAGTGGGGAGCACCTCGGTGTGACATTACAAATTGGAAATGCCATCTAACCACTAAGTCTTGTGTGACTGCATATGAATATATGTGTAAATATGTACATTTTTTTTCTTTTATAAAAGGCTAATTGTTTATGAGGGGCATGGTCTTTTTTCTTAGAAATTGTAGATGATTTTACTTTTATGGAAGTGTTCAGATGGATTCATGGTTGGCTTTCTGCCTGACCTTGACTCTGGAGTAAACTCAGGCACGGGTTCCTTGTTAAAAAACCCTTTAATATTCACCGAGAAAGTGACAGGAGCTGCTGGGTGGTGGTACCGTTCCCTTGGTCTTGGCTTCCTAGCTTTGTCTAATGAGTTGATTTCTAGGCTCCTGGGTCTACGGAGTGTTAGGTTTTCACTTCTGAGGAATGTCATAATTTCTGTGTCCTACTGAACATGGTAACTTTTTTCTACTCCAAAAAGTTTATAAAGTTAGTGCACACATTCTAAGGTGATGGGAACAGACACCAGCCACTAAGGGCCACTGGGCTGGGCATTCTTTGCTGTCCGATTTTTAGAGTGGTAGGAATGTTCTTTGCACTGATGCACGCAGTAGACTGTGGCACCAGTCACATGTGACGCCTGGGCACTGGAGAGGAAGCCTGTGCAATGGAAGAAACTGAGTTTTTAATTAGGATTAAAACATCCATAAGTGGCTAGGGGCAACCATTTTGGACAGTATGAGTAGATTGTGGATTGGGGGCAGATCTGAAGAGGAGGGGCTTAAGTGGCTGGCTAGAGGGCACTGAGGGTAAAGGGTTGGGGCTGTTTACTTGGCAATTAAGAGACTTTTACTGTGTTAGCAGTCAACAATAACCCTATTGTAAGATACTATGCACAGATGCCTTAGGAACACCTTGACCTTAAATGAAGCACTTTTTTTTTTTAACCTCACATGACTCAGAAGGGGATATATCTGATCAGAACAGTTTCCCAAGACCACAGTTTAGGAACTGAGACATAGGACAATACTTCTTTAAGATAGGTATGTTGTGGGCAGGAATGCCTGAGGGTGGTAGGTGTGCCTAAGGACTTATCCAGTCTACCTTCCTAGTCTGGTGCATAAACAGTGCCCAGAGGAGCTGGCTGGCACCCCCAGCACAACCTAGGGAAGGTGTGGTATTGCCCAGGGTAGGATATGCCTCTGTTCCCAGTCCCAGAAGCCTCATGGACTGTGACTTTCTCCTAGGCTGTTGCTCTGCAAGGTGTGTGGGCCCCTGCATAGGGGGAGAAGGCAGGGTGAGAAAATGATGAGAAACGGGAATCAGCATGTTCTGGGCCAAGTTCAGAAAGTACTGATCCCTGGTGTTGGAAATGCTGTGTGAGGCAAGAGGGCGCCTGCTTGGGTGGGTGACCTGTGTATGGGTACTGGGATAGGCCCAATCTTAAACCTTGTGCATTAGAAGATCCACTTGGATCTTCTAGATACATATTTTTTAAGATTTGTTTATTTGAAAGGCAGAGTTACACAGAGAGGAGCAGAGATCTTCCTTCTAATTCCCCACATGTTAAAATATCCAGGGCTGGGTCAAGCCAAAGTCCAGAACTGGGAGATTCATCTGGGTCTCCTAAATGGATGGCAGGGACCCAACACCTGGGCCAACTCCTGCTGCTTCCCTAGTGCTTTAGCAGGGAGCTGCATCAGAAGTGGAGCCGCCAGGACAGGAACCAGTGCCCGTACAGGATGCTGGTGGCTTCAACCGGGAGTAGAGGGAGGGACCAGGTGGCCTTGCTGGCTCCTCCATAGAATCCAACTGAGTGGCTTTATCTGTTAGTGATGGCTGGGGTAGTGTGGAGACAAGCAGAGGGCCTGCGAGGAGATAGAAGGGAGTGATGCAACTCAGAACCTGCAGCAGGGCCTGCTCTGGCTTCTGTTCCCTTCCTGTCCTTCAGCCTGACCTGTGGTGGAGCACAGGCCAAGGGCACAGTGAGACCACGAGCAGCACAGTGTCTCTCAAGTTTCAATAAGCAAAGTTCAACATGAATTACCAAGTTTATGGAAGGAATGAGGTCCCCGTCTGCTCCAGTCTTCAGAACTAGCTCTTCTTGGTCCCAGGAGTTCTGAGCCAGGGGGACTGACTGCTTGGGATGTCAGGATGGGACCCTAGCATGATCATACTTCTGTCACAGGGGGCTACTGTTATCCTGGGAAGTGAGCCTGGAGAGGGAGTATGGGACAGAGAGAACCTGTCCAGGAGGGAGAGCTGTCCCAACATCCCACAGGGGCTTCAGCCCTCTCCTGAAAGTCGCTGAGATCTGAATGCTTGCCCAGAGGTGGGGGCGGCTGACATGGACTCTAGTCAAACAGTGCCTGCTTGAGTTTGATACGGAACCATCCCTTGTGCGTGCATCAAGGTTCTGCTTCTCTTTGGGGCACTGTGTGCTGGGTGTTGCAGCCTCCATGGCTCCAGAGATAAGACCTTTCTCGGACCTCTTTGGATGTCTGTGGAGAGGCCTGCCAAGGACAGCACTGATACCCTGGCCCTGGGCCTGGTGAGAGGTGGAGTCCTTTTCAGGCAAAGTGATGCCTCAAGTTGGTGGGGGTGGCTTGCCATCCGGGCTGTCAGGGAGTCACTGGGACTGTTTGGTATTCGTGTATGCCCTTTTGCATAGGTTCCCAAATCTGCTCTTGGTACTGGTGGATGGTAGATTCTTCCAGGGAGCCCTGTTGGAGCACCCAGGGCTGGCATAGTGTCCCCACAGGGAGTTTTGTCTTTGCCACAGCTATTTCTTCATTTGGGTACAACTCGCCTTTCTTCATGAGTGTGTATACAATTCATTAGAAATCAGCACAAACTTCCCCTTGTCTGCCAGCTGTACAGAAGATGGGAGGACTGAGGTGGGCAAATGGGGAGCTTAGAAACTTCTCTCCCAGGGGAGAATGTACTCAGATGGGTAGGATTTGGCTTTTCAACCCAGGCTCCCTTGAGGGCCAAGTCTGAGGCAGCATAAGGGCATGGAAGGCTCACAGCGTGATCTTCCGAACACACTACTGCTGCTTTTCCAGGGCAGCTCTGTTGGCTCGCTGGTGAGGCCGGTCTGACCCCATAGAGCTTCATCTTAGACAAGAGATACTGGACACAATGTCTTTGGGATGATGAGGGAGAAGGGAAGGCCCAATTCACCATTCTTCACCCAAGGAGGGCATGTCCACATGAGCTGAGACCCCAAAGTCCAGCTGGATAAGTCACATTGTGCAGGGTGCCACATCAAGTGCCCTGGACATACCATGGCATTGGCATGTGGCCTTCCCCAACCAGGAAATCAATGTGCAACACGCATAGGTGGCTTGCCCAGGGTGACTCAGCTCCTGGGTATGAAGCCTATTTCTGCATGTCTAGGACGCACGTGGGTTCCACCATATGAGCTACCTGCAGAAGAGGAAACTGAGGCCTGGGAGGAAGTCTGGGGTACAAGGAGGTAGAACACTAGTGACTCAGGGCCAAGGAAACAAGGGAAGGCAGCTAAAGCTGTGGCTGCATCACCCCTGATTCTTCCTGACACCACAGGCTACATGGGCTTAGCTTCTACAGGTCTTGGGGGCCCCAAAGAGAGTGGGTTTAATTTGGTCCTCAAGGGCAGCCAGGGTGGGGCCCCGAGGGGGCCTTGGCACAGGGGGCAACTCAAGCACATGTCCTGTTTACAAGCCTGTTCTCAGCTGCTGGGGACTCCGGCCTGCTGGGCCTTCCCTCAGCTCTGGAGAACCAAGTGGACTTTTTCAGCAATGTTTCCACCTGAGCAAGGCTGCAGGTGCCCCTGCTGCTAAGGCAGGGCCCTCAGGGACCCTGAGGTTCCTCTGAGGTCTGTACCTTGGTGACAGTGAAGAACCAGGACCACTAAGATTCAACCTCACTCCCAGCTACATGGCTGGTTCATGCCCTAGGCCTCTGGTGGGTCTAGTTCTGGCTTCTGGGTCCCTGAGAGTCCTGTGTGCTCTGCTGAAACCATACAACTCCTGAGTCCTGCCTTCCTGGGGGACAAGACAAGTGAACTGGATTCTGGGGTGCAGGGGGAGGGCAGTGAAGGAAGGTTACAGAGGAGTAGCTAGTGCTGCTGTGGTAGAGCCCTGTTCGGGATGGTCCATGACCAACTTGCTGTGAGACAAAGAGCATGCGCCACCTGGCATAACTGGAAATCAGAGTCTGAGTTGTTAGTGGCTTTTTCTTTATTAAAACTGCACACCAAGAGAAGGAATGTGGTTTTGTTAAACAAAGAGCCAGAAATCCAGATGAGCACACAAAGACATTTATTCAAGCTGCCCATAGCACAAAACCCGGAAGAAGCCAGGCTGCCCAATTTGGGGAGGCATGGGCTCAAATGCAGTCCTCACTCCCTTGTGTGTGGATCTGGGAGCTCCAGCCCACATGGACACAGGCATGGCCTCTGTGGACAAGGCTCTGTCAGCACTGGCTTGGCGCTCTTCCTCAACCCCCCAGGTTTCTCTTAGCATCCGGGGGCTGTGGAGGCTGCAGGAGTGGTAGAGAGTAGGCGGGCAGGTGCACATGGCCTTGGAGAGAGGGTGACCAACTCTGCTGTTTGCTCAAGACTGAGGAACTGCCCTAGGATTTGGAACTTTCAGCCATAAAACTGGGAAAGTCCCAGGTGAATCAGGGTCAGTTGGTTGTCCTCCATTAGGGCCAAAGGCTTTGTCCG